TATAGAAGATAACAATAAAATCTATCTGTTTTACAATAGGGGACTTCACAGTTTAAGTCCTTACTGTATTACACGAGTGCGTGAATATGAAATTGAGAGTTTATACTTCAGTAAATGCTCTCTTCATGCTCTTGCTTACTCAAAACAATTGTTTTCCAGAAATAATGCTCCCTCCAGATTTGATCCATTTTTTCGATCGGGATATTCTTGGTTTCTGGTAGCAAAACATAAACAAATCCGGTCATTATTATCACCCATCCTCCCCAGAAGAAGAAAATTCCGGACTTGAAATGGCAGAGCATAGTTAGGAAAACTTGAGCAATGATGAAAGTGAAGAGAAAATTAATAGCCACATTGATGCTCTGCGCAGCTGACCGTATTTCCAGAGGGAAAATTTCACCCGTTACAACCCATCCCAATGGACCCCAAGACAAACTAAAGCCAGCGACATATATGCAAATCAAAATCAGAATCAAAATGCCATATCCATCGCTTAATCCACCTTCATCCCCTAACTTAGCTCCCATTATACCTCCAATCACCATTTGCGGAATAAACATTAGAATTCCACCTATGTGAAATAGAAGTCTTCTACCAAATTTGTCAACCAACAGTAACGATAAGAACGTTGTACCTGTACCAACTAGTCCAGTTACTACTGCAGACATGAGTGATGCACTTTCACCCAAACCAATTGTTCGGAAGAGTACTGGTGCGTAGAAGGCAATCACATTAATTCCCGTCACTTGCACGAAGAATGGTATTGCTATGGACATTACGAGTTGAGGCCTATATTTTCTTCGTATGATGTTTTTGAATGGGTGTTTGATGGCTCTTGCTTTATTACTAGCTTCTATCATATCATCGAGTTCTGCATGGACATCATCAGTGCCTCGTACTCGTTGCAGAATCCTTTTGGCTTTTTCATGACCATTGCCACGATGAATTAAGCTGTTGGGCGTCTCGGGAAGGAATAATGATCCCACAGTTAGAACTAAAGCTGGGGCCGCAGCCATCGCCAGGGAAATTCGCCATCCCCAGCCTCCTTTGATCTTTGCAATTCCGTAGTTTAAGAGGTTGGCCGAGAACACACCAATGCCAACACAGACTTGGAAACTCATGTTAAAAGCTCCTCTATATCTTGCTGGTGCTATTTCTGAAAGGTACAACGGGACAGACTGCAAGCATGAGAAGAATTACAGTATGTAAGCTATATCCAAACAGGGAAAAAACAAAAATCGGATTTTGCTCGTATATACTTATTTTTCTGTTAGCATCCAGCGGGTAATACCCTTTTGCAATTTCTTATAAGTAAGTTATATCATTTTCTTGGGCAGGATAGAAATTCAGGGAACCGAGTACAAACCTGGTTAGCAAAACCAACACCAATTCCAAGCAGAACTCGACCAAATATTAACATATATATATTACTAGCAGCACCGCCAAGGGCAGCACCGGTGAGAAATGCAGCACCACCTATAAGGATTGACGGCTTGCGCCCAAAGACCTTAGTTACTGTTGAAGCAAAGAAACAAGCAACGAGGCCAGCTACGTAGAGTGATGAGGTGAAAGATGTCAGCAATTGGCTATCAAATTTGCAGTAGTTGCTAATTTTGCTATCTTCCTTCATTTTATGGTACACTTCTGGAAAGAATTTCTTGAGAAATGGTTCCATTGAGGTCACTCCACCTGAAATTCCGATATCATAGCCGAATATTATTCCCCCAGTTGCAGCAACAAGAGAAGATAGTAGAACAAACCATGTAATCTTGCCATTGTATTGCCCTCCTTCGCTTGTTGCTACAACCATAACAGCCATGAATTTGTTTCTGAAATTGTTATGGAGAGAGTAGGGAATCAAATGTGACTATTTTTCTATTTTAAATCAGTCTCGAATGAATCAAACGAGTAATTTAACCGAAGTTTGACCACAAAACGAATCTCTTTGGTTTACAATAATCAAATTTTCTTACTAGCAGTCCAACTTGACCGCTGGATCTCACTATCAGACTATGCGTACTTAATGCTTACAAGTTACGCCTAAGAGATCTTGGACTTTGAAGTGCATGTGATAATGTTGGACTATTATAAGCCGTAATCCTATTTTCTACCATTAACGACAAGGTAGGAAAGGAATGCCCTTACGTATAACAGTCGTTTAATATTATTCTTTTCCATTCTTTCCTCGTTAAAATGAAAAATATGACTGTTATCCATCACATCAAGCCACCAAATTTGAATTTCTATCTCGGAACCCATAACGGCTATATTTTTCATTCTCATTCTTATGAAAATGGAAAACAAACGGGGCCTATTGTCAATCTTATGCTGGGTTTTAGCAAAAAAATGGATTCTTTGATACCGAAGTGTGGGTCCATTAAAAAATAATTTATATTTTGTTGGCATATCATCGATGAGAATATTGACTTCTAGCCTAATCTCAGCAATCAATTGTTATTATGATGATCAATACAATAAAGATACTTGTACAGCAGCCCTTACACATATGTGGAATCCGTGATTATTTTAATCGTGATCCCCATCCTTTTATATTTGAGAAGACTGTACTAATTGTTGTACACGTATTTTGTGATCGATATGCCCCTCATTATGATCACGTACGGAGATAAATTGGGTAGTGTTTGGAGAAATGCAATAAGCCTACTCTATGGTAGTGGAAAAGTAGATTTACTGATGAGGTGAGATTGGATATTTCAATCAACAGTAAGTCTGCATGACTTAAATACTTCAATGAGTTCAATCGAATGAGACACTTTCAAATTATTAAATTTCAATAAAAATCTTATTAAAATTGCAACCAAACAATCCCCTAAATAAAATTGGTCAGTGCATTTATGCAATTGCTTAGCGTTAGTGGCTTCATGCAAAATTGTACAGCGAACCTTTTTTTTATTTTCTTTGGATTATTTTATATAAATGGGTTCATTCGCTGAGACTATAAGGACATTATAATTTTTTTGACATTATGGTGCTTGGTATTAAAGAGCTTTAGTAAAAATATCGAGAGAAACAGTACGATACAATCAAAATATTAGATTATGAAAAATCAATTTTTTAAATAACTGTTCTACAATCGTATGCAAAATTATCATGAAGTGATGATGAAGTGAATTAATCATTTCTTTTTATTTTTCCTTTCTATTTTTCGAAACTGCAATAGCCAATCACTGGCAGCTACGTGTCTTGGCAGTTAAAATTTAAATTCACGCCCCTTCATGATTCCCTCCAATATTTCTAAACGGCTTTTAAAGTATTCTATAAAAAATGGTAAAAACATCATCAAAAGTTGGAAAAACTGATTATTTTCTTCTGCAAAAAATGGCTTCTCTGAAATCCCGTTTGGAGCATTCAGTCACTGCCATTGCTCTTAGATCGTATCTTGCTGAGTTTATCTCTACATTCTTCTTCGTCTTTGCTGCTGCTGGGGCAACAATGTCTTCGCGTAAGCCAATTTTCTTCATTTTTAATTTGGAAATTAATTGTTAATCCATTTCGTTTGATCATGGATCGTACCTTTTCCCTTTACATGATTTTTTAATGATGTTTATTGATGTCATAAAAACAGGGAAAATGATGCCGGATGCAGCATCGGATTCCTCGAGTCTTGTTGCAATTGCAGTTGCGAATGCGTTTGCACTGTCAGTTACAGTGTATATTTCTGCCAATATTTCCGGGGGCCACGTGAATCCGGCTGTCACATTTGGAATGGTTGTGGGAGGCCATATTAGTATTCCTATGGCTATTTTCTATTCGATTTCGCAAACGTTTGGTTCTGTCATGGCATGCCTGCTATTAAAAGCAACCACCGCAGGACAGGTACGTCACTCAAAGTCCCAATGAGTACCGCGTACTAAATGCATCAAAAATTGATTAAATGTGTGTCTGAGTGTAAGATAAACAGACAAAAAGTTTGATTACCCGACTAATTCTACTGATTACAACATACTAAACATGCCACTATCGACTACCCATCAGATGTACAGATGGAAAGTTGCATCTTGGTGACTCAAATATCACATTATCTTTAACAGATACTTCATAATTGTTTTGCAGCATGTTCCAACTCATGCAATAGAACATGAGATGACTGGTTTTGGAGGAGCAGTGCTAGAGGGTGTTATGACTTTTGCATTGGTGTACACGGTTTATGTAGCCTCGAACCTGAGGCCGGTTTCTGCCGGTGCCATCGGCCCCTTGGCAATTGGGCTTATTGCGGGGGCTAACGTTCTTGCATCAGGACCGTTTACCGGTGGATCCATGAACCCGGCATACGCATTCGGTTCAGCCATTGTTGGAGGGAGTTTTAAGAATCAAGCAGTATATTGGGTTGGACCATTGTTTGGCGCAGCCATTGCTGGGATTTTACATGATAATGTAGTCTGTCCTGCTCCAGTGCCTGATTCCTTTAGGGGGAATGCTGATGGAGTGGGAGTTTAACTATATTATTGGCGACAAATTGTATTAGAAATTTAAATTTTTTTAATTTGGAGATAGGATTTTGTTATCTGATTTTAATGTAGAATGATAAGCATTTATTTACTAAAATGTTTGATTTTCCGGTTTTTGGGATTTTCATATTTTATTGATTTTTGAACGTTGATTGTACTACATTGTATATCACAACTTACAAATTCGTTTACCAGCAAATGACGTAACGAGATTTGAATGATTTAATATTTCACAAATTTAAAAATAATTTCCCCAATTTATTTTTGTTATTAACCCACGTTACATAAGTACGATCATTTAAGTGGTGATGAGATTTTTATAATTTTAATTTAATTTATTTTCATATCATCAATTTATAAAAAAATTTATTAATGGGGATGTATAAAAATCGTGAGAAGAATGTTCATTTTGGGAATAAGTCTCAACACGCTTTTGCTTATATTTGTAAACGCGACATGTCGGTTCTGCCCTGAAATTTTGCTATAAAACAATAAAAAACAAAAATCTATTCTCATCCACCTCCTGGACTGGACTGGACTGGACTGGACTATCTTCTTCCTAGTCTCCCAGCACAATCCTCAATGGCGTTGGCGCCTAAATCCCTATCTACCCTCTCTTCATTCTCTCTTCTCAATCCCACTCTCACTAAATGCCACACTGTAAAACCCCCTTTCATCGTCTGTAAATCCACTCAATTTTACACATCTGAACCGAATGGAGCCGGACCGTCCGCCCCGACACGAGGCGACATTTTCCTCGAACGCCATAGCTCTCTAGAAGCTTCAGCTTCAGTTCTCACGGAAAACAAGGAATCAAATAAGAAGAACAAGAAAGAAAAAGTATTTAAATTGTCGTCTTGTGTAATTAACAGTTGTTACGGTTGTGGGGCTCCGTTACAGACCTCCGAAACGGAGGCTCCGGGTTATGTGGACCTGGAAACGTACAATTTGGTATGATTTATTCTATTATAAGACATGCAACTTCGGGAATTTTTATTTATTTATTTCATTTTAGTGAATTAATAAGGGGTGACGTGGAAATTTAGGTATTGATGGTATTTTGAAATGTAATGATAGATTTGGTTGAATTTAGTAAAATTGACTTCTTTTGGTTGTTTATTAATATGTGTGGGATCCGTAGAAGAAGAAACATAGGCAACTGAGAACCGTGCTATGTGGGAGGTGCCGGCTTTTATCTCACGGACATATGATTACTGCGGTTGGTGGGAACGGAGGTTATTCTGGTGGGAAGCAGTTTGTTACAGCAGAGGAGCTGCGTGAGAAGCTGTCGCATTTGCGCCACCAGAAAGCTCTAATTGTTAAATTGGTAAGTTCAATTTGTTTGGTTGTTATTGCAGGTCAATATTTATAGTTTTCCTTAGTGTCATTGAATAAGACGCCTAGGTTTTTGAAGTTTTAGAGTTGGCCTACAGGTTTTCTAGTGAATGTTGCTATTCTATTTGACATTAGTTTTTATCGTTCCTCTTTCCTCCTTCCTAGTTTATGTTTTGAGTTCCTACGTGTCTATTGATAATCTTTATGTTTCCGCTAAGATTATATTTTTTTTCTTTCTTCCATTTCTCAGAAATTAATGCTCGGTTACATGTAGGTAGATATAGTGGACTTCAATGGCAGTTTCTTGGCACGTGTTCGTGACATTGCCGGTGCAAATCCCATAATACTAGTTGTGACAAAGGTGCTAAAAATGAGTTTTTAAAGTCTTGTTGTCTCTGACATTAGTTTCTGTTTTGCTTTCTTTGAGTTCTTGTTGTTTTTCTTTCACATATTTCTTATACTTCGTTATTTATTAAGGTTGATCTTCTTCCTAAAGGAACTGATCTAAATTGTGTTGGTGACTGGGTCGTAGAGGCAACTGTGAAGAAGAGGCTTAAGTAAGTCAAATATTTTTTGGTGATGTTTCGTCAAGAAAATAATAGTTATAAGTGGAGGAATAACGGCACATTTTTTTGAAGAAGTGATGATTCATATGTATATGTTCATTTGAGTTGTGTTTTTGCTGCTTCCTCTTGCTAAAGAATTTTTATTTCTCTTTGTTTGTTTTAGCACTTGGTGACTCTTGAATTCTGGTCATTAATAATGAAAATGTTGAAGTGTTAAAGCAGTGTGCTTACTTTGTAGTGTTCTGAGCGTTCATTTGACAAGTTCAAAATCTTTAGTGGGAATTGCTGGAGTGGTGTCGGAAATTCAGAGAGAGAAAAAGGTTGGTTCTTTTTCACTAATAAAAGTTATACTTAATTTTGGCTGCTAGTGGTTCTTTCATGAGTTGTGATGGCTATAGAACTCCATTTAAATAGCTAGACCAAGACAAAGATTATTACCAAGCACATATATCTATTTTGGTTTTATGGATTGTTTATATATTGTGGTATGATACGTTCTCCATCTAACAAGATGTTGGATTACCTGCACATGTTCATGTACTGATTGTTGCAATGGATTATTCTTGCATGACAAATCACCTTCTTTGGCACGGTCTCTCTCTCTGTTCATTTTGGTTCCCTGTCTCAGTTACGAGCTTTGACATTGCATTTTTGATTTGCAGGGAAGGAATGTCTACATTCTGGTAAGTCCATCGACTATTTGGAAAACAGAAACAAAGATGATTAATGAAGTTTGATATATGAGTATATACTTTAATTTCAGAACGGGTTTTTCACCTTGTTCCCATCTTGAGTTGGACTCTCTCTTACTCTACAACTTGCTTATTTTCTCGCTTATGGAAACATGTTGTGATTATTAATCTTTTTAAAGCAAATTTTCATTTCGTTCACTTTTACGATTGTTTTTTGTTTAATTTTTCAATCTAGTATGGCATTTAGAGTAAATTAAATGGAAAAAGTAATCTGTGGAGTTGACATAGCACTCGTGCACTTACATTTGGACTCATATGGCTATAAAAGTAATCAAAACAATATACTAACTTCAAACTAAGTTTTATTCTAAATAACTTCGGGTCAACCACGCTAATCCTTCTTCGCCATCTGTTCAATATATTTCTAGGTCTGCTATAAGATTAAATGCAACTAGATCATTAGTAATTACTACATGCTGCATAATTTTGTTCTACCTCCTGTCTAAAATATTCTTCTAAGGTTGTAACCCTCTTTTGAAGTGGAGCTTCTCATTATCTATGTAAAACACATCCCAACCACTTAAGTCTTCATTCCTATTGTTAATATTCAAGTGTTATTGCCTCCATAATTGCGTATATTTTGTTTCTTATCTAATCCATTCTATTGTGGATGCATATCCATCCTCACTTCTGCTATGCTCACGTCATGGACTTTTTGTCTCAGTATCATCAAGCATATCAAGTGTAATTATTTTTCTGTAGAGTGGGTTTTTCGGTTAGATAGCTATCTATCACATAAAATTCTTTTAGTACTTCACCATTTCCTTCATCCCTCCCTAATCCTCTGCAGATGCCTTCCTCAAGTCTTTCATTTTTAATGATCAAGCCTAAATGCTTAATACAACCACTAAGTTGGACAATAAAATCCTCTATTGTGATTCCAGTATTATTCTTATTCCTACTATTGTTAAAGGACATTCTATGTACTTTGATTTAGTTTTACTTATTTTAAAACCTTAAGTTGATAAGTACCCGTCCAGATTATAACTTACTGTTTAAATTCCTCTTAACCTTTTCTACTAAAATTATGTCACCATTGTATAACACAGAAGATAAGATTATGCGACTCAACTTGCAAAGGATAAGGAAGCCTTCTTTTATAGAAATATGCCCTCAAAAATTAATTCAATTGCAGATTGTTGTCAAAGGAGACTTAGTGCAAAAGATTTTCCCATAGCACAAGCTAAAGGACCTCATCTTGAACGTGTCTCATAGGCTTATTCATGACGAAATTGGATAGACACAGACTTAAGACAGACCCTTGATAACAGCATACACGCTAGGAACTTATATACAATTACCACCACTCCATCTTACTCTAGGGAGTCAGGATTTCACCACCGTGTATTTCTTTAATTATATTTACATATCTAAACAAATCTTTTTCTATCTAGCATCATTTGAAGTTTACATTGAAGGCTGTAAATGTCAGAAGAAATAGGTCCGTGGCCTGTTCACTGTATTTGAAGAGGCTTAGAATGTGAACCTTATATCGTCTGATGATTTTAAAAACGCAGTCAAGTTTATTCTGTGATTATATTTATGCTTATGCTAATCAGGTGTGACTTGTTAGCTTTATTTTTCTGATGTGTATCTAATCTTCATTATATTTTTTAACAATTAGCTCTGAGACTTGATCGGCTAATCCAGACATATATGTGCTTGAGTGCATGCGTGAGTTTCTGTAGGCTGAAAAGTAGATGCATGTATGCATTCATGCTCACTCGTGTAGTACATACAACCTAGTGCTTAATATTTGTTAAATGCACCTTTTGACCTTATAAATTTAAGCTTAAATTCTTTTAAAATAAACTTAAATTTTTAAAAAAAAAAAAAAAAAAAAAAAAAAAATTTATTTCTTTCATTTTAAAATTTGATTGTTACACTTCATTGATTTGACAGGGCTCAGCCAACGTTGGAAAATCTGCATTCATTAATGCTGTATTGAGTAAGCTCATCTTAACAATTAGACGTGTTTTTACTTATATTTTTCCTTTAATCATTTTTATGTACAGCATTAGGAGATAAGATCTGGATCCTTATCCTTTTCGATATATGTCATTTGCTTCTTTAAACGTTTGGGGTCTTCTATTTGTTAACTGTCTATTGAGAGACATTTCTTACTGTAATGGACTGCAAATTGATTGAAGGCTGGGCCAATAAATGCTCTATGAAAGTAGAAATGACTCATACTGACCCAGACATGCTTATTTCGGAGAAGGAAATATTTTCCCAATAACTTTGAATATGTTTTTCCATTTCAGTTCCAAGGAGTTCCTTTTTGTTGGTCAAGTTCATCCCTTTGTCACATTCTAACAAATTAAATTTTACTACTTCGTCAAAATCATCTTCTGTTCATTTCTGATGTTTCTTTGACCCTATATGTGTGCATTAGATTTTTTCCTCTCCTTCTGCCTGTTCTCAACTTCTACTTGTGCTATCAGAAATGATGTCATACAAAGACCCAGTTGCTGCTGCGGCAAGAAAATACAAACCTATTCAATCTGCTGTTCCTGGAACTACTTTGGGTCCGATCCAGATTGATGCTTTCCTAGGTGGAGGGGTAAGTCCTGGTTTCATGTAATTAATATCCAACTGTTCTGTATTTATCGGCTTGCACATTTTAATGTATAATTTGTGAAGGTGGGATGAATTCGATTGAAAATACATGACAAAGAAAAGAAAGGCAAGGAAAAATCTCTTAGAATTTCTCCACTCTATGCAAAGTCAATTATTTTAACTTTTCATTCTCTATGACCTATATTAAAGATCCATTGAACGAATAAAAAAGGTCGGTTCATGACCTTCAGCCTCACCATTATGCATATCTTGGATGTCTCAAAATCAATTTTGAACTATAAATACTGGCTTGCTCTTTTTTAAATCTAAAAAAGGATCCATTTTTCATCTTTTTGTTCATTTAGATGTTTTTGTTTTTAGCTGATAAAATCAACATTTTTGTATTTGTCTGTTAGATGCTGGTAAATTCCAGAGTGGTAGATGGATGAGTCTTACAGATATAGAACAATTCTCAAATTTGACGTTTCTTTATTTTAGAAATTATATGATACACCTGGAGTCCATCTCCACCATAGGCAAGCTGCAGTGATCCATTCAGAAGATCTACCTGCTCTTGCTCCACAGAGTCAAATTCGAGGCCGATCTTTTCCAGTAAGTTCTTTGTTTTCATGTTGCCATCAAAGTATTTGTTCTCAACAGGTTCCATCTCCATTAAATGCTTTTCTTTTTTCTTTTTTGCTTTCTTAATGATATAAACTAGAATCCTCAGCTAGTCTTGGACAAGGTGACTGCTGATCGACTTGGTTCAAATGGCTTGAATGGTTTATCTATATTCTGGGGAGGTCTTGTGAGAGTTGATCTTATGAAGGTTTTGTGATCTCATGAAATCATGCTTATTGAGCTGGTTAATCTGCAAGTTATCAATTGATTGCCACCTTTTTATCCTTCCAGGTTCTTCCAGAGACGCGTCTAACATTCTTTGGACCTAGGTCACTACAAATTCATATCGTGCCCACTGAGGAAGCAGATAAATTTTACCGGGTAAAATTTGAAATGAATAATGATTAAAGTGATTTTACACTATTGGAGCGGTTGTGGTTATTTCTATATGCATGCATGAGCTGTGCTGCATTATCGACATTTCAAAGTGTTCATGAAATGAATTCTGGTATGTGCAATTCTGGTGCCGTGCGTGCATCTGCAGCTGTGTTCGAGTCACGTCTCTAATATAGTGGTGTGATATAGATAATACAAGAAAGGGGAACCCCCATCCAACCACCACTACCACCAGAAGGGAAGGGGAAGCTAAGAAACCAAAGAAGTAACGTGTATTTCCCAGTCAAGGCCCAGTGTTGCACAGGGCACTAAATAATTTTATTTGTAGCTGTAGAACACTTATTTTACATAATTTATTATTCAAAGATCCCACGAATAACCAAGCAACACCAGCACCACATTCGTACATGGGGAAACCAATTCAGGTGTCAATTTATTTATACCTTTGGCTTTAGGACGATTCACTAAAATTACACCTAAATCCCCAGAACAACAGAATTCACAATAGTCCAAATGGTTCCATATACTCTAAATATTTATTCATGGAGGCCTATAAACTTTAATAACCCATTATTATAATTGTTTTCATAGCAATATCAGATATTACAATTGCCGTGCATGGTGAACCTTCTTAAGAAAAAATCGACGTCAACAATGTGGCGTCATCTTGCAGTGGCATTAAGTTCCGGTTATTTTGAAAAGGAAACAGGAACATGAATAACATTCTCTGACTAATTTTTGCAAGGTAACTCGTCGCCGGTATTCATAGTTAATGTTGGGGATGTTAGGTTTAATGCCTTGGTTGATTTTCTTAATGTGAGGGAGGTAAGGCTTTATGTGCCCTTAAATCATGATTATAGGTTTAATGTTAATCTGAAAAATCTGATGTTAGAAAAAATCCTATTCTGCTCCTTTCTTTATAAATATTCTTCTCACCTGTACACATTTGAGCATTTCCTTTGTGAACGATAAGCTTCTTTGTACATAATTAGTTCTTTTCTCTGAATAATGATTCAATCTAATTATATCTACAAGAAATTGTATTTAAGAGAAATATTTTGTTTTCGGATTATTGCACAAGAAGATTTGGAAGTAGAAATGGTCTATTGAAAATCTTATGCTCTGGAAATACTCTTTAGTTTCTTTTCCATAGTTTTGAAAATGAAAGGTTTTGTATTCTATTGTGGAAACATATCAGAACTTTATAATGTGGGAGAAGGGGATTCGAAAGACATTACGATGCAGTCATATAGATAAGAAACGTCTTATTGATCCTTGATCCATGCCTTGCTTGGTTACTGTACAATGTGATGTCGTTATCCTACAATCTTTCTAAAATTATGATTTCATTTCGGTTTTAAAGATTGACGCTTACAATTTCTTGTTGCAGAAAGAAGTTGGAGTTCTATTGACACCACCTACTGGAAAACAGAAGCTAGACAACTGGATTGGACTTGAAACTAAGCGGGAGTTGGAAATAAAGTATGAAGATTTTGAGAAGTGAGTAAAAAGTTTTGCTTAAGGCATAACATTTGCTTGCTTGTAGTAAATCTATAAGTGATGCCGATGTGTCGACTGCATGACTAAGACTTATTCTTCCTGCTCTTGCTTCCATAGGCCGGCTTGTGACGTGGCTATATCAGGTCTTGGGTGGATTTCGGTTGAACCGGTAGACCAGTTTCTTAGAACCTCCTATTCAAGTGAAGGAGAAACGGTTGAAGAGCTATCTTTATTAGTCCATGTTCCCAAGCCAGTAGAGATTTTTGTTCGGCCTCCTTTACCAGTCGGGAAAGCTGGAGGGGAGTGGTATCAGTATCGGGAATTGACGGAGAAAGAAATGGATTTAAGACCAAAATGGTATTTCTGAGACTGCTCATAAAATACACCCAAAATATCAGTTTGCATGCATTTGCCGTAACAGTTGTGAGTTGTGCCATTGGAATTTGGAGGTTCTTCGTATACTAATGCAGAATGTGAATTGTCTAGTGGTATAAAGTTCACCACTGGTGGCTTGGTTTCGTCGACTTTCTTGTCTGTTGAAACCTCGTATTAGAATCGAACCCTCATTTTTTCTTTGGCAGGGAGAAATTTTGAATTCGTGATGTGCTAACTTTTGTCTAAATGCTTCGATGGTATGAAGTCAAATTCTAGCTATTATGTTATTTGTGTACATGGAACATATAATCAATTGAAGTGAGGCTTGGGTGAATTGCCTTAATATCCATCAATAATCAAATGCTACTTCACAATCGGATTGTTCATGCTTAATAGTTGAATACCTTGTTACATTTTCTTGGTTACTGGCCTTTCTCCTCTTCATTTTTTTTCCCTAATTGAAATCTCTCTTTGATAAATCCAAGGAATGGGCAGTTGGAATCATAATAGTACTTAACGTGCTCATATTTTATTTGACTGTATCAAAGAATATTAAGAAAGAAAAATAAGTTATTCTAGTTTTTATTTACAACATTGCTACTGCTACGAAACATGCTCTCTGACTTAGATTCCTCTGCTATTAGATCTTTTAAATAGCCCATGAGGTCAAAATTTACTAAAAAATTCAAGTTAAAATCAATGCTTATTTTTAATTACACATGTTATGGGATTTAGAACTTTTCAATCTCAAATTTTATCAATTTTTTATCAAAATCTATGAATTTGATTTTTAATCTACACCAAACAAGGGCATAATTTACTATTTGAAAGGAAGAGATTCAGGAGTTGTGTGACAAAGCTTTTGATAAAAAAATTTGTAGATTTTAGTAAAAGCTAATAAAATGTATGCTCGTAAAATTGATAAAAGTTGTGGATTCCGTTAAATGTGTGGTTCAAATTGAAGTTAGATGACTTGAAAAGTTGATGAAGTTCTAACCCTTGTTTGATTTTAATTGTTTTTAAAATACATTTTTCTCCCTCTTTTTTAAAAACGTAATTTTCAATAAAATATGAGGAAATTTCATTGGGTGTCAAAATTTGGCTTTGCATTATAAAAAATGTCACCTTTTAAATTTTCTATCAAAAATGTCAATTTAGGACATTTTTGACCTTCTGAATTATTTAAATACCTTATATATTAATTTTCAAGCAGGGGCCTGCAAATTATGAATTTGCACAACAAGCCCCCGTCTCCAACACCCAAATCTGCTGCTGAATTTTATTTTATTTTTTTCCTTTTACAATGTGGCAGAGGTCGCCGCCGGCATCCAGCACTTGCTGGTGCAGTACAGCAGCGGCCCTCGCCGCTACAATTCAGCAGCGACGAGTGAAGCTGCTGGCGCGGGGCTCGCTGTCACGCTCCTCACCGCCAGCGGGCACCTTTGCCCTTTTTTTTTTTTTTTTTGAGCCCAAAATTTATAATCTTTTAAAATCAAAAACAGATTTTCAAAATTTAAAATAAGGGTAAGTTGGATATTTTCCACAAAAAAAGTGACATTTTTGATAAAATTAGATGTACATGCAAATTTTTTGTGCATTGTTAAAAAAAGTGACATTTTCTATAATTCCCTAAATAATATTACATGCAAATTCAAAAATTTCCTTATTTTTTAATCATACATTCTCTATCAATCTACTGTTTTAAACTCACCCAAAGAGAACAATCGTGGGAGGAAAGCGTACCAATTTATAGGGTCATCCAACCTACTTCCTATCGTCAATTGACACTAAACATTCGAAAACATGCACTAGTCCATTGACCAAGCAAATGGCTAGTCATTAGCCCTGCCAATTCATTATTGGTACAAAGAACACAAATGAATTCCTCCAAAAAAAGAAAAGGATAAGAGCAATAGCACGTCGAATGACTGGACTCCTTCTAAACATGGTTGGTGCTTCAGTATTAATTGGATTCAAGCAGTTGTCGATAGGCTGGATGTCTTTTGGGCTTTAAGCTTACCTGGTTCTTAAGACCCGAGATAAAACGTGATTTTAGTTAACACGATTATGGCTTTTTGGTTGCTTTTAATTTTGGACCGTTTATCTGCCTTAGCTTTAGTCTTTGGGTCGGTGTGATTTTTGATGGTGTATATATATATATATATATATATATATATATATATAGACTACGGACTATAGATATAAAAAAAGGGACTCTCTCTCCACGATGCTTAAGTTGTTAGTCGTCTCTTGAACCTTCTAGGGTTCGTCTGTTCTTGAGGGTTTTGTTCTCTCATTCTGTATACTTCGTGTGTTTCTTCTCTGAAAATCTCTGAGTGTAGATTGTGAGATTGTAGTGTGCACAATCTTGAAAGGAATAGATTGTTAGTTCATATCTGTAATTTTGAGAGAGAGAGGCGAGAGAAAATTGAAAAGACTTGTGCTCTCTTCAAAAATTTGTACTATTCTTGAGAAATTTCTTAGTGGAATTGAGCAATATCTACACGTAGATGTTCAATGGGTGAGTAGGCTTTTTAAGCTGAACATTCGGGCATTTGTGGTGAAAAATACTCTATGTTCATCTTTATTTTCTGTTATTTTTGTTTTTAATCGCTCAATATTTGATTCTGAGACCAACAAGTGGTATCAGAGCTCTGGAAAATCTTTCAATTAATTTTTTTTTTTTAGAAAACTGTTCTTGTTAAAACCCTGAGTGTTTCAATTTTTTAAATTTTTCTCTCAACGCTTCTCAACTGTGATTTAGTCAAATAATTGTTTGATTCAATTTTTTATTGGATCTTGAAACACTGAAAGTTCTTTTGAAACTTTTCATTGTAAATCAATGGATCTTGAAAGTTTTTTTAAGTGAAAACCCTAGTTTATTACGAATCTGAATAACTTAGTGTTTTCTGAGTCTACATATTGAATTTGACTCATGACTCGCCACTAAGTTGGTGTGGTGCTTTTGACTCGTCCTGAGTGCTGGTGAGTTGAGTTGACTCATTTCAAGTTTGTTGTTGCTAAGTGCTGAGTTCTGTTGAGTCATTGTGACTCGTGGTGTATTTGGTTATATTCCTCAAATTTCCTCATTGCTTCGGATTCTCCCATTGCAATCTCTTATTGAAACCTTAAGGGTGTTCAGCTCTGGTGTAATCTTTTCACACTTATAACTTGTGGCTAGTAAGGTATACCGTTTCTTGTAAAGGTTTGGCATGGTTATTAAGGTAATTGATCTACCACAACTTACCTTAATCCAAGATCTCCTGCGAGGATTTGGAAATCTGAGGGAGTTGTGGATTCACGAGTCATCAGCCCTTAAACCTGTTAAACTGGACATTTAATATTTTTATATTCTTGCTTTAATTGATCACTTTGTTGTTATATAGTATTCTTAAATTATTTGAATTGTATAACTTCATCCTGTAAGGTGTATGATCTTTCATTATTGGAAAGTGTTTTTTGATCTGCATTACCTTGAAATTTGCACGTCTTACAATTTTGTTATATCAATTCAATTTACTATACTTAGTGTATTGCATAATCTTGCTTTTGTAGATTTATCTGTTAATCATGACTACTGCACATAAGTTTGAAGTAGAAGTTTGGAAGGGGACTGGGGATTTTAATCTTTGGCGTTAAAAGATGAGGGCTATGCTCTTACAACAGAGATGTATTGGTGCCTTAACTGGGACATGGGTACTGAGATTAGTGCATGTAGGAGACAAGAACTAGATAAAATTGCCTAGAGCACAATCTTTTTGCATTTGTCAAATAGTGTAATCAGAATTGTAGGGGAAACCGCTACTACTACAACACTATGGACCAAATTAGAATCCCTATACTTAACTAAGACAATACCAAATAAGTGCTATCTTTTGAGGCAATTCTACAATTTTAGATTTGACACTTCTTCCACTTTAGAAGAAAATATTGATAAATTCACAAAATTGATTCAAGATCTAAGTAACTATGATGAGGAGTTATCAGATGATCAACAAGTTGTTGCCTTGTTAAGTGCTTTGGGTTATAAATATAGGGAGATCATAAATGCTTTAGAGTATGGTAGAGATGCTCTCACTATGAACATTATTGTCTTAGCTTTAAGAAATAGAGAGCTTGAATTAAAAACTGAAATAAAACATTCTGAATTTCGGGAAGGCCTACATATCAAAGAAAAACTCATTCCTCTAAGAAGAAGAATCAGTGTAACTTTAATTCTCAATAGGAGGGAAGACCTCAAATTCCCAAATTCAAAAATCAAAATAAGAGTCAACTGAAAACTAAAACTTAAGTCAGGAAGTGTTATTATTGTGGTAAAACAAGACACCTTATAAAAGACCGTTTTAAAAAGACGTCTTCTATGAAAGGTAAGCCAAATCCTGATGGCTCTGTAGCTATTGTCTGCAACAATGAATATGAAGTACAAGGAGTTGTTCTTGTGACTTCAACAAAAAGAAACCCCAAGGAATGGGTTCTTGATTCATGATGTTTCTTTCATATGTGTCCTATGAAGAGTGGTTTACTAAATTTGATGAGCTTAATGGTGGTCAAGTCCAGATGGGAAATGATATGACTTGCAATATTAAGGAAATTCGTAGAGTTAGTCTCTTACTTGAAAATAGTCATGTTCTTGAGCTTCCTTTGACCAAATATGTCCCTAAACTCCAAAGGAATCTCATCTCTTTAGGGGAATTGGATAATAAATATGAGATCAAGATCCATAAAGGATTCACTAAACTAAGTCTAGATTCAACAGAGATAATTTCCTCACCAAAAGTGAATGGCATCTATACACTTTGTGCCGAACCATTAGTTGGAAAACTGTTTGCTGTTATTAATTTCCCAAATGATAAAACTATGATATGGCATAAAAGATTGGGTCATGTTAGTGAAAAGGGATTGATGATTCTCAATAAGCTTGGATGTTTTGGTAAAGATGATATTAAGAGTTTAAAGTTTTGTGAAAATTGTTTCATTGGAAAACAAAACAAACTACCGTTTAAAATTGGTATTCATAAATCGACATCAACATTTGACTACCTGCATACTGATATATGGAGACTAGCATCAATTAGTATTTTGAGTGGATTTATATTTTACCTATTGATTGTAGATGATTATCCAAGGAAAATCTGGACATTTCTTTTAAAAACCAAATCTGACACTTTTCAAAATTTTAAACAATGGAAGCTGACGATTGAGAATCAGGCAAATAAAAGGATAAAAGCTCTTAGAACAGATAATGGACTTGAATTCTGTAACACTGAATTTGATCTTTTTTGTAAAGAATCTGGTATCTTAAGGCATAGAACCACTACTTATACCCCCTAGCAAAATGATGTTGCTTAGAGGATGAATTGAACCTTGCTTGAAA